TGATATAATCATGGGCATAAAAATTGCTGTTTTCATTTTCATCATTACTTTCAGTTACATTTTGATCATTATTAGTGGTAGGTACAGATTTTCACTTCAGATTAAGAACTGTTGGAAAGCTTATCATAAGTTACAGTATAATTTTTACAATAATGATTTTGTTTATAAGTTGCTAGTCCCTTGCTTAATAATATTTTTCCTTCCTTACTGAGACAAACCCCATCCGTTTTGTAACAGTTTCTATTGACAGTATTGTTGCATGAGACGTCTGTTCAGTCCCAGAGAATATATTTCCTGGAATACATCTAGGTTTCTTTCATAATTTTTTTCATTTTATAACCAATGATCATAGCGATAGGCTTCTGTGATAATGAAGGGTTGGGTATGCTTGAGGTTTATTATAAAATCTTTGATGATTGCTCTGTTGTGTGGGTTAAAATCTCCTAATAGTAGGTATACATGGGGTGGGTAGTTGGTTGAAGGGGTTGGAAAGTTTTACTACACTTGGTTACGAAAGTGGTTTTCCCGTAGGCATAATACTGATGGGAAGTATTCCGAAAGAATCAATTTCAGCATATTCAATTGAGGTTCCATTGAGGTTCCACTGAAGTATCCTATTGAATGTTATATGGAGAAGAAAAGAGAAAAACACTTTGAGGATCAGTAGGTTCCTTGAGAAGTATCAGTATCCTCTATTCTGCTGAATGCATCTAATTCCAGCTGTTTTTTTGATTTTATTTCGGATTTTAGTGCATCTTGATTTTATTTTTCGTTCTGTTAGCAATGGATAAATGCCATGCAACAAGTCCAGTTGCCCGACGATATCCGATTTATAGATTTTCGCCACACTCAGAGGGTCGAATGAGCTATAAACGTTTTCGAAAAAGTCTTCGATTTCCGCATATGATAAGATGTGTTTCTGAGATTTGTTTTCAAACATAGGTCTAGTAGGTCTCAGACGATATTCCAGTGACTGTTTATCTATAGTGGTTTTGACTGTCTCCAACTGATTTGGTAGGGGTTAAGTAAAGGCCGTTTCAGATATACTGCGTTTGATTGAAAGACTTGGTACTGACGTGTCCGTTGTAGGAGTTGAGGTTATGTCTATTGTTTCAGGGGGAGGGGGAAATTTCAGTTCTCGTGGTTCACTGATGGTTGTTGGAGGGACTTCTAGTGTGTTATGTTTGAAACCGGCTCGTTATTGGGTATTGTCGGGCAATTTACAGATGAATGACCCTCTCGTTTGCATTTGAAGCAGAGCTGGTTTCCTAAGGACAAATATATTCGGTATGAGGTCTCGTCGAATGTTATGACAATGGATTGGTGTATTGTAGAGTGGTCCCGATATTAGTTCGTCTACGGAAACTGAGAACATGTTTCAATTCAGGATTGGACGATCCAATTCGTAGAAAAGATAAAGGAGAGACCAAGTGTAAGCCCAGGTTGCGCAGTTCTGTTATTTACTTTTCGTGGAGACTCGTAGGAGATTCATTTGAAATGATTAATTTTTCATTGGGAGTTATGAGACTTCTTGTCGATAAATTTCCTAGTTTATTATAATTTTTCCTTCTGCCCTATTGAAAAAGTCATCGACTATTTCTTCGCTTGTTAAATAAATGTATGTTTGAAATTCTTGATGAAAATAAAATATTTTTGGGGTCGACTTGTGTTCCTCACAATAGTCTTCAAGTTTGGTATTATCGAGTGCATTGAACAAAATGGCTTGTTTTTTTGTGGGGAACATCGATTAGTTATGTTGGTTCGGTACAGAAGAGAACAGTTTTGGTGTGTTTCGGGGACTCCTGTAGTCAGATGTACCCGCATTCAATCTTTCATTCATAGTATAGAAATATACCTATTTCTTTGGTGCCTTATTACGGCCCTGACCATCCGAGTTGGGACACTCTGATAAGGGCTGATATTTGTCCTTGATAACTGAACCAGTTTGCTTCAACAAGATAATTTATAGTAAAATAAATTGGCTTACAGATTTCACATTTTAGAAAGGTGACTGATGTGAACACTAAGAAGTAGCGGAAAAAAATAATTTCCACTGTAAATGAGCGAATTGAAAGCTAACTGATAAGAACGACAGTATTCCACTTAATCAGAACCGGACTGTCGTGATATTTTTCTGGGTACTATATTGTATTTGAAATTATATTGAAACATTCAACTTCGTTTCTAGACATTTCAAGATATGTTTGAATATTTTCATCAGCGAGAGGCATTCAGTTAAAGACGAGTATGTTTTGAACATTGACATAGCATTGTTATAGTAATTCGTCCGATTTTTATTTGGAAAGATATCTAATAGTTACAAGACAACGTCAATGTGTCAAACTGTTAGAAAATTAAATGCATAATGATTCTTGATGAATTTGAAGAGATTCTCATCAACATCAGATGTAAAGTAGATAAAAATGGGATAAGTCAGTGGAGGCAGAGGCATTTTGAAATTTTAGTAAAAACTGAGTTATATTGGGAGGTGAAACAAAAAACTGTTCAATTTTTTCTTCAATCCTTTTTGTTCTCAGTTTCTAACGTGAATACTATCACAATTTTTGAGATCATACTTGAAAATTATCACTAACGTTCAGATTATTAGCACTTCGAAGTAAAGCATGTTCAGGCTACCTTATCAGCATCATTTTGTTCAATGTCCAAGAGAAAAGGTCACATACAAATTTCGATCTTTCTGCGACAGAATAGAATACACTGTTCGACGTTGGTTTGCGAAATTTCGTTTCGGAGATTTTAGTCTCGATACTGAGCTTCGAAATGGTCAACCTGCAGTAATCCAGTAATAGGAAACAATAAAAAAGTACCTTTTTTATGGAAACCACAATTTTTGCTCTGTGCATTTATAAAATATATCAAGAACCATCAAAATGTTGATCAATATCCTTTCGTAACAAAACTTACCCACCCTATTTTTAAAATTTCATGTTTTTTTAGATCGCATGTAAACCTTCTTCAACATTAAAAAAGCATAAAAAATTCTTTCTCATGACTTGGCCGTTCCTACTTCAACTGTGGTTATAGAATTTCATACTTATTACAGTTGTATAATGTATAACTGTAACCGCATTTTCTATGTTGAGGCGTGTAAAATATTGGTCGGGAGCAATTATGCTGGAAGAGAGGCTGACATGTTGAGCTATTGTGAATATTTATCTAGAGATAGCCTGAGACACCTAAATTCATGGGTTATGTTTCTAGTTTACAAAACAATGTGAATAAAACCATTGAGAAACCTAAACAAGTCTTTGACGGAAATTATAGAAAAATGAAGTGACAGAGAAGTGAGTCACAAATATCTCGGCCAGAGTACCGGTAGACATATTTGAGGATGGACAACTCCCAGACAGTTTCGTTCGTCAGTAACCTTCGATCTTACAAATCGCCAAGCTTTCATCTCTGAATAGAAACTTCGTCAGGACGAAGTGATCTAAGTTTTTCAATTGAAAATTGAATATTGATGAAAAAATTTTACAAAATTGGCGCATTGATGGTAATAATGTCATAATTTTCAGATATCTAATATTAGTAACGTAATCTGAGACCAGTCATAATCTATCTGAAAATAATAAAGTCAAAAGGCTATTTCTAAAAATGGTTCACATGAGTAAAAATAATAATAACTTGAACAAAAACTCAGAAATTCAAAATTTAAGTCAAATTTACAATTATATTTCAACTTTTGATCAATAAAATCAAACAATTAATTTCAATATAAAAAAATAGATCACTAATAAATCTTCACTTACATTTAAATCTCACTGTAGATGCAAATATCATAATAATCACATTTTCTCTGATACTGTAACAAAATCTTCAACGTCAAAAATAACCTATAGTTGGAAAATAATTGCATAAAAATCAAAAGATGAATGAATAAGTACTAGTCTGATCATTCCCATATTGATTTCAATCTAAGAACCACCAGTAGACAGCTGTTTCAGCCTGTTGGGCATCGTCAGTATCGGGCAGGCGGTCCTCAGTTAAAGACAAAATGTGAATAACGATTGCGTGAACGCAAGCGAGACGTAAGTGGAACCACCTATTGGTTTGACACCCAAGTCAACTTGCCACGTTTTTATGTCAGTGTTGGTGGTTTGACTAATCAACCGAACAACTGCGGTAGCAGAAATTTGAGAAGCTATCCTGGAATGTCATCGGAAAATAGAATCGACATGTTTATTGAAATGATGTGAATTCGAGAAATTTTAATGCAGTCAAGAAGTTGAAAAATGATTCCATGAAAATCAATCGAGGACCGCCTGCCCGGTACCGACGATTCCCAAATAGGATGAAACAGCTGCCTAGCGGTGGCTCTTAAATTGAAATCAATATGGGAATGATCAGAATAGTATTTATCTATTTATCGCTTGATTTTCATGGAATTATTTTTCAGCAAACTGACTCAATTAATCATCATCAGTATTTTTTTTTCATTTATTTCAATTCTTATTACTTTATATTATTGAACTGAAGTAGAGTGATTGAACATTATACCTAGCATAATGACTAATTAATTAATAAAAATCTATATGCAGTAAGGTTACTTATTGATTTCTCATTGCTTTTGTGCTCAAGGAAGTCTTAATCCACTCAACTCATTTTACTGTTGATATAACTCCTTTTCAAAGACGCAAAATTTTTCTTTCTCAATAAAAAAAAAATTTGGTGCTAGTTAGAGGTAAGCTCAAAATTTGCTCACTAACACCGTGTAACATAGAGGTTAAGTTTCATCATGAAAATTAAAAATGCTTCAGTGAAGGATAAACTCAAAAAAATCAGCGACACAATATATTCCATACCAAACACATCAAAACTCTCCCTACATAGAAGTATTCAAGAGATTATACGAGAATTGTTCCTATAAGAAATGTTTTTGAATACGAAATGTAAAAATTATTTTTTGAACCTAAAATCTGGTCATATTTCGGTTAAGTTATTTCTGCTCATGACATATGATTGTTGGGATTATGTTGCAGGAGTATGTTGAACTGCGTGAATGCTCTTGAGCAACATCTACCCGTAACAGAACAGGCGGGTTTGGTTGTAGCAGAAGAAAAGACGCAACAAGATTCATGTAAGGATATGGTCACATTCCAAGTATTATTTATTCTAAAAATATCAGAAAAGTTTCAGTTCCCCTGTAGTTGGTGCCCCAAATGACAAGGACACTTTGAGTGTGAGAAAATTGATAAATTTTCAAAATGTTTATTCAGCATCTCAGCTAATTCTTCAATATATTTTTGATTAAATATTCGGAACTGAACCCTTTTTGATTGAGTTATGTGTACAAAAATTATTTGTTTCGTCGTTAGGCATATTCTACTTTGAGTAGTACAGAACATCTGAAGAACTTCCAGATCTTCATATATGTCTTCAATATAGAAGGTTATCTTTTTGATTCTCTAGTACCCTCACTTATAGGGTACAGCCTGGTGAATCAGATGATCTTATAAAATTTCAGTCTTGTGGAAGGCAGCCTTCTTGAAGTATTTTACATTAGAAATTTTCTGTTGAATCACTTTTTACTAGTGAATTAGTTAAGTTCATGCATCTGAGCATACGATTTCTCACGAAAATGTTATTGTCAAACATTCTTTCATCTATGGCGAACTTCTAAAGGAAATAATATAAATTAGTATTAATTGAGAGGGGCATTTTTTTAGGATAGAATGGTTTTTTGATAAAAACATTTTGGAATTCCACTGATTCAATTTTACAAAAAATGTAGGAGGAAACTTCCGAAAGAAGTAAAAAACAATTAATTTCAAAAACACTTTACATAGATGTGTAAATCAAGCATACATGTTACTCTCAGATACAAACGAAAGGAAAAATCCCTCCCGAAACACAAACTTCCATATCTACATTGAATTACACATGAGAAAAAGTACTTTCGAAACAACTATTTTCATAAGAATTATGAATTATTTATCCCAATTCAGTTTGTATTACAAACATTCCTTATGGAATTGAAATAGTTATAATAATGAAAGAGTTACAACATAAAATTACATTTACATGGAACACTATCATCCTCAGTCGTGAACTTTCGTGAAGTTTCGGAATAAGACACCTGTGTCTCAACAGCACCTCAACAGCACCTTTTTGGATAACATTCGGATTGAATCAAATGAGCGTATGAATGTATTTATGTGCTGTCATCGTGAGATGAGTACATTTTCCATAAAGTGATAATGTTACAAATGAAATGGGTGCTTCATCTTGTAAATGTTATGCAGAAAGGTGCTGATGATATAATCAGGCAGATGTCCTATTCGAAAACTTCGAAGTCCCCCGTTAAGGATATCAGTGTTCCATGTAAATGAATTTTTTTTAACGTTTTATATTGTGTTTATGTTCATATGAGAGTTAACTCCTATGCGTGTTCTACACATCTTTGTAAAGAGTTTATTTTGAACTTAATATATTTCTTTCGTCCTCCGTAAGTTTCCCACATTTTTTGTATGAATATACAGAAGTAGAAAGCCGAAAGGAAAATGTTCAGGTTAACCTTATATGAACCGAAAAGAAAGTCACATCTGAAACAACTATTTCAACTCAATGACATTGAATTGTACAAAATTATTTTTCACGTACTCATTGTACTTCTTTTACATTTCCTATTTCCATATTCAAGAAAAGTTTCAACTGATATTTTTATCATGTGTCTTTCATATTCAGGCATCTCAATTAAAACTGAAAAGTGAGCATTCAAGAAGTTGATGAAAAATTAATTATTTTACTTCAAGTTGGCCTAGTCTTCTGGGTAAAAAGCATTAATGTAGAAATGGTTTTGCCAGTGATTACTTCATCCCTTATATAGTTATCACTTATCTCTAATATTCCAGTTTCGAAAACATATTAATATGCGAATTATTCTGATCAAAAACATGTGATGCACCAACAAGAAATATGCCTATTAAGAGATGAAGTATGTGCAAAAAATCATCTTGAAGCGTTGTTATATTTGTGCATGATTCTCTTGGAAAGCTGGTTTGAAAAAGTGACAGCTGACATTCAATCAATCAAAATTACTGTGGTAGCTTCATGTAATTCTTTGAGATTTTTGTCTTTCGTATGAATCCTTTTATATTTCATTATCAAGAATTCTTCATGTTCATGAATTTGAAATTAATATCTCTAGAGTTCTATCTCAACACCAAACTGTTAGTTTCAACACCTTGACAACTATTTCAATCACCAACTGATCATCTTCGAGAGGAAGATTAAACTAAATCTACCTACAATGTTGTTCTTATTTATACCATAGATAAGGACAATATTGTACATAGGTTTATTTCAATCTTTCTCTTGAAGATGTTCACTTGGTGATTGATCAAGGTGTTAATAATAACGGTTTGGTGTTGGGATAGAACTCTAAAAATATTCATTACTACACCAAAGGTTCCAAACAGTGCATCACAATATGAAATAAATTTAGCATATGAAAGTCAAAGTCTTTGTTCAAACCAGGTTACCTCTCGGCATGAATAACCATATTTCAAGTGAATTTCTGGATTGTTAATGGTTTCTTTTGATTAGTTCCAAATCCTTTCGAGAGACGAATGTACAAAACAACATATAATCCCCGAAGACATTCAGCATACGCCACTGTACCAGGTATAACAACTTACGAAATATATCACATTCAAAAACAGAGCACGATAGACAAAAACACATTGTATATACAAAGTGCACAATACAAATCGAAATGAGTCGTTCAGAAATGCATCTCGTTTAACAAGACGAAAACCGGAATTTGGATGATATAGAAACTTTATGCAGTGATATTATGAGAATTTCTGTTTTTTGTTTCGATGGAAATATCGCACAGGGTGTCAATTAATTGTCCTGAATAATATCTAATTGGTAATAGGTAACTGGTTATGAAATGTATGAACATAAATAGAATGTATCAACATAAATATTGTTAGAAAAAATGTATTCCTGGCATCGAAAGGCATAGCCTGTTATTTCACTTCTCTGTACACAATAAACTCTTTACAAAGATATATAGATCATGCATAGAAGTTACTTTCAGACACTAACGTCCTTTCAATTTTGAAATTCATTTCTCAAAGATACCTATTAGTGGATATAAAATAGTGAAAATTGAAAGGTGTTTGGAAAAAAAGCTTTCGGGCTTTCTAAGTATCCAACTTCATACAAAAAATGGGTAACTTCTGATGAGTTCCTATCATGTGATGGAAATTTTCATTGATAATCTAGAGAAGTCGATCTTTGAAAATCCTTGGATTGAGAATTTCTTGTATTGGCATAGATATGTGGATGACGTTTTGGTATGTTTTACAGGTACTGAGAGACAATTAGATATTTTTCATAGGGATATTAGCAAAATTCATGAAAACATTAAATTCACTATTGAAATAGAAGCAGAAAACCCAATCCATTTCTTGGGTTCAACAATTAGTAGAATGAACAACAAACATGATTTTTCAATTTAACACAAACCGTCCTATACGGATATTACTATACTCGTACATTACGATTCTACCTATCCTTATCAACACAAAGTAGCAGCTTATGATATCATGATTCACAGATTAGTTAATGTTCTTCTTTCAGTAGACAATTTCAATAAATAACTTAATATCATCAAGCAAATTGCGATTAACAATGAGTTTAAAGCCGAATTAATAAACAAAATACTTGCCAAGAAAGTCTATGCAAAAACGATTCGAAACGTTTTTTATATTGATAAGGTATACTCAAAATTATAGAGCTTTAACGTATTACAGACAAACAACGAAAAAAGTGGATTCATTTTTGAGGAAACGAGATATTAAAATTGCATATAGAACAAGTAATACGTTGGGAAAGTTAGTTGAAAATAATAAAGACAACATCTATATTCGAGAAATTGGGAGTAGATAAATTGAAGTGTAGAACATGTCCTAAGGTATATATTGGTCAAACTGACAGAACTTCCAGGAATCGAATCCAGGAACATCATACGAGCTATGTGAATAAAAAAACAAATATTCAACATATTCAAATCATCTTCTAGAAGAACATCATATCTTTAACGAAGAGTTCGATATTTTGCACATAGAAAATGAAAGTTTGAAACTGCATCATTTGGAAGCAATGGAAATCAATAAACTTAAAAATTGAAACATCCTAATGACTGACCAATCGGATTTGAATAGATCACCATTATTGAACTTCTTTTCTTAAAAACCGGGAAGGAATTATTATTGATGTAGGTGTGAGGTAATATGCTTCAGGTGATCATAATTGAACAGGTACCTTAGGTAGAGGTTTAGGTAATTTTTGGAGGTAGTCTCAATCATGGTTGCCTATAGTATATAAATATTAGTGTAAGAAACAACTTGAAGTGTTCACTTCATAAAGCTACTGTGCTAGAGAAACATATGATATTTTTCAAATAAAGTTTGTGGAGATCAAATCGTGAGGTGTAGTTTTTGAGAAAACATAATGATCTCCTGAGGACTAACTTGGTAAGCGAAGCGCGCGTCAAGAGACCGTAATTTTTGTTCAGGTTCTAGGAAAGTATTTTCAATAGATTTATTTTACGCCAGAGGTTCTAGTATGAACTATCAAGAATTAATACCTTATTCTATTTGCCATATAATAATAATCATATTGAAAATTCAGTCAAACTATGAGACGTCATTTTCCATGAGATATGATCCTAGGAAGTAAGTTATTTGGTGAGAGTTTTACCAAAAGATAAATACTTTCACAGCAAATCAAAATACCTGGTCGGTTTTTTGGGTACATCACCTTTCACAATATGAAAAATAAACAAAGTTAGATCAATAGGGAATCTGCTAAAATTTAATGAAGTGTAGACTGTGAAGTTCACCCCGAAATATTATTGCTTGAAATAATCCACAGAAGATCCAGTGACTGAGTAATTAGTATTGATGGAGTTTGCATGCAAATTGAATCATTAATCGAAAAAATAAAATGGCTATACTCACCTTTCGTTATGTGATTGACGTTTCTGAAAATATTTTTTTCCGTTTCAAAAACTTAAGAAAAATCACTTTTGATTGACGCCTTTTGTGAAAGTATATTTCCATTGACACAGTTTTTAAAATATTCTAGTTTCAGTTGTTGTATTTTTGTTATAATTCATTTCGTACTATAGCTCATTTCAGACTAGCTCTGCACTATCAATTCACATTGAAGCACTTAAAATATTTGTAGAGTTTCAATAACTACAACTCAAGCATTATATAGAGTTATGCAAAAAAATCATTCTGATAAATAGAGAATTCCAAGGGTTTCAGTTTGAAAACGGTTGAAAATTAAACATTTACCGACAATTTTCGAAATATCTTTGAAATTAAATTTGGTTTATCTCTAATCGTTAAAAATAACTTCATCATTTCTTGAAATATATGGTATTGCTCAATTTATGATAGAAATCCTCAACGAATTCGAATACACTTTATTGTGAGATTATCACTAAACAGTTTATTAAACCGCTTCCCCAGGCGTTTTCATACATATGAACACGCTTTGTTTAGTGAAACATGTGTTGCGATTTTGTGAACTATCTCACAATAAAGTATTACTTGACAACGCAAAACATTTGTTCTATCGCTATTTCCAAGAGTATTTTTGAAATTTTTCGAGTGACAAGGCTGAGGCTGATACCAATGACAAATTTATATTCAATAATTTTCTCGAGAAAGTTTCAAAACTGTTAACTGATTAAGAGAGTCATGTATAGTATGTTCCACTCTGGAAGGTATTGGCTTATCAACTGCAATAAACTACCTGGTTTGCGAATGCAAATGTGCTACCGGATCGAACTTGAAACATTTTAATTATGTTTTGCATGATATAGGAGATATACAAGTAATTTACTTCAATGTTACAATTATATTCTATATTTATTTAGTGTCGCTATCGCTATTCTCATCAGAATTAATTATAATTGGCGCAATTGATTTTACAGAAAGATACGAGTTTTCAACATTTGTAACATGACTAACAGAACTTTTCCAACTCTCGGTAGGAATCTCATTCACATAGTTTCTGATTTATTCCACCTCAGTACCACTTAAAGTCGAGAAGTATTTTTTCCAACTCTCGGTAGAGATCTCATTCACATAGTTCCTGATTAATTCTAACTCAGTACCACTCAAAGTCGAGAACTATTTTTTTCCGCGCACCTTTGATTTAAGTTCGTGCCACATATGCTCTATAGGATTAAACTTGCAGCAGTAGTAGGGAGTTAGTCCTAACACTGTATGTCCCAATTCTTCTGCAAATGTATCATAAACATACAGCAAGCACCGAACGTGATGGCGAGCCCACCCCCATGAGCACAAACTCATTTTCAATGTAACCCCCACTACAGCTCTTGCAAGACATACAAATGCTCTGTACAGAGGCGTATCATAACTTGTCCTCCAATGTTGTTGGAAAAAAACATCATCGCCTAACAAAAGTTTATTTTAGGATAAGTGTATCATTATATAACATTTTAATGAACTGTACTACTGCCTAAAATTCTAAATAAAATATGGAAAGAAATTACGAAGAAGTAATGTTCCATTTGCTACCCTAATTGTATCTAATTAGGGGTACGATACTGGCTGGCAAGGGCCTTATCGTAACCCAATAGTAACCTGCGTGATCGCTCGCCATCACTTTTGGCGCTTGCTATACGTTTTCTTAAATGAAAATGACTCCAGCACTAGTAAACGTTCTTTTTTTATCCTCAAAATATATGTCACTTGCAGCCGTAAAGTTTTGAATCTCCAAATTTGTATTATTGAAGACAAGGAAATTTTTTCAATTGCGTTGTCCTTTACTATATCGCTGTTTGGCGGAATGTTGAGGAACAGAAAGTTTTCAAACCAATCTTCAAAAAGCTCTGCTGTCGTATCTTCATGATAATCAACACAAGAGTCCTTAATATTTTTGGCAGGAAGCCACATAGCATTTGGTATCCAATCATTTTCTGATCCTGCGGGTAATATCGTGATTCTATTTCCTATATTTGATGGTGCTTTTGTTTTATACTTATCAGAGGAATCATACCATCCACTGAAAGGGGTGTCATGCGTGTCAAATCACGTCTCGTCGAGGTAGATTATTGGGCGATTTTCAACGGTATTTTCTTCTTGACGTTTTATATTCAGAACGCCAATTTATTGAACGTGTGGATTTCATTATAACTTATCTCTTGTTGATATTTTGCGCTACTAAGAGTAGTGACGCTACAATTGATTTGAGCCGGTGTTTTAGACTTTTGATTGTAAGAACACGTTGCTCTTCGTACATAGAGTCGATTTTTTGCCTTATTAAATATTTTTACCAGGCGTCTAGACTTTTCGTGTCACCGGAATCTTTAACTTTTTTCTTGATTTCCAACAATTCGTCTAACTGAAGTAAGAGGCACCTTCGTCAAATTGCTGGTTACACTTGCTGCAGCACCCACGTTATATCCTTACTGAAGTGAAGGAATATATACATTTTTTACAATGATTTTCGCGTCACAAGATAAGTGATTTTTCTTTAACAAACCAGTGGAAGAAGAACTATTATTTTTTATCCACGACGCCACATACTGCATATTCCGTAAGTTGGGGTATAACAAATTTGCTATACATATCTATAATAACATTTGAATATTTCGAAATTATTGCACACGGTGATCACTTCCAATCAAATACCTACAAAGACTAGAATAACATAAAGTGTGAGCCGTAATTCTCTCATATTATTGTGATGCGAAGGTTATCTGCTTATATTTGCAGTATTTTGAATTTATTCTTCATTGGGCTTTATATATGTATAAATATTTATGAATCCTGTCCTTTCTCGAGTTTTATAACTCAGGGTCTAATTGGTTTTATTGGAATCTTTCAGCCAATACCATATACCGGGAAACGTATATACTACAAAGGTTTTATGCAATTAGTCGTTACTGATGAAAATTCACGATGAATATACTACAACTATTTTATTGCGAGTTTTTCACACTGAAATTAATCAAAATTCTCAGTCCATTCTGAAGTTTAGCAAATTTTTCTTAAACATCTTACGAAAAAGATTGTTAATTATATGAATTCATATTGGGTCGACAATTCCAAATTTTCCATTCATGTCAAAACTATATGGTAGACTTACATAAAATGAAGGAAAATATTTTTGTCTATTTCCACTAGATATTTCATTTTCACGACCGGTTTCGGGTTTTATCCCATTATCAAGTATAAAAAGTAACTAATCATTAATCGTAGTAATAAAATAACTAGTGGAAATCAGACAAAAGTGTCTTCATCCATTTCATTAAAGCGATTTTGAATTCCAACAAAGTAAACAAGCATCAATTACACAAATTATATGGTAGACATCTTATGAATCTGAATACTGTCACGACATAACTTTCGCTATTCAACTGGACTTCAAAAAGGTAAGTTGCATGATTATGTTCAGCAATATATTCGAATAATTTGAAAATCCAAAGAAATAGTGCTTCGTAAAATGTGAAGATCTCTCTTTCGCTTTTTTCTAAGATGTAAAGTTTAGTTTAGATATTGATATTGATTTCTCGTGCCGGCTTGTACCTCCATGAGTTACTCATACAAAACTAATAATTCTCTGTCTTCTCCAGCTGGCTCAGAACGTTCCTCCCGTGCCGGAGACAACAACACGTCATGTAGCCGCCCTCCGCCCCCACTGCCGCCTCCGAGATTTCCAAATAGTGCCGTTTGACAATGGGACAGTCTCCACATCGTCACTACCTTTAGCCTGCCAATGACACCCCTTCTGGTTCTGGAAGATCATCTTGTGGAGATGATTACCCAGCGGAGCAAAGCTTGTGCCAGATACCTCAGACACAGCTTCAAGAGGCCTCACCGCCATAAGAGTCACTGCTTGACTAACTGATAATGAATAGTATCCATGTTAGCGTTGGATTCGATCGGGAGAATTCACTGTCGCGAAGTTTAAGCCGGATTTGGAGTAGAGGAAAATTTTTCGAGTCCATGTTATCTGAATTTTGATTAATTGCACACGAATGGAATCAATTTATATTTGTAACAAGGAAAATTATGAAAAGTCCTTTTTCGAATATATTTTCATTATTTTTCACACTACTGTGGTTATGCTAATTGAGAACATGCACTTATCATTAAAAATCATTTGAATATAGTTGGTCAGTGAATGTTCCCTTGAGAAATGGAAAACCTGAAAATACAAAAAAACATAATTCATTCACAAATCAGGCAAATCGAAAAATTCTCACTCCAGACCGTTAATAAATTGTGCGCACTCGTGATAGGTGATTATGAACTTCATAACACATCTTCCAAGGTTTCAAAATGGCCTTAAAATGCTCAGTTTAATTCGAATAAATATGAAATGAATGCCGTCAGTGCCGTCATAAATTTATTACAGACTGAAACATAAGGTGGCCCGAAGTCGCTAGCCTATTTTAAAAGATAAAATCAAGGTTTATATCCGTCTAGAGACCGAATAATTGAAACTGCTTGGAAATAAAACAATAAACTCAGTGATACCTATAGTTATCACTATCATTATTAATATTAGATGAACCAGAACTGGACAAGTAATAACATTATTTCTAGGAGGATTTGAACCAAATTGTGAATTTCCAATCGTGTTTGCAATCGGAATCTCAATAGTTCGGTGAAAAACTAATCAAATTCGTAAAAAAAATGGTGACTGGATGTTATAGCTTTGATTTTCCGAAACTGTTAGCATGCACCTACATTTTTTCATTCTCCGTAGAAGTATGTAGTTTTGTTATGTGTTACGTAGACATATTTAAAATATTTTGGGCTAACGTTTGCTTCATTAACTCTGAAGTGAAATATCAATAGTTAACTTTTTCCTTCGAAACACTGTTAGCTCAAATCCTCTATTCGAAATCTGCGATAAATTCCAAAACGTTCTTATAACCCAACGATATTTTTTTGTCATTATTTAATGCGAGTAGGTGTATTTGCGCATGAACATAGTGAAAAAACACTCGAAAATGGCGTGCTACGGACGTATATTGTTTTTGAAGAAGCACTTGCTCGCAATGCACTTTCGATCACTCCTGTATAGAAAAATCAACAGGTCAGTTTTGAAAATAACTCATGTCCCAATATTTTTTCAACAACTGCCTATGAAGGACCTTATATGGATTGATACAAAAGGAGGCGAAATCGTTGATTCTCTCAAGGGATGACAGAATAATACAAAAAGGAAATGTATCGTTTGAAAAAGTGTATAATGTAATTTGACAGATAGTTAAGAAAGGCAGCTAATAAACGTTTGGTTTCATTACTGACCTGTTCAATAATTCATGTTCGTCCCTATGTTACGGCTTATATTCTAAAAAATCCACTGCCAACCCGATAAAACATAGGGACAAATATGGCTGAACTTTTAAAGATTCAAATTGGGAAATTTTATAAAAATAGTACTCAGCACAAATTAAAAAATGATATTCTATTCATATTATGTAAAGTTAAGTGATAACATTTAGCTGAATTTGTGATTTTTCTGTTTGAGTACAATTTGAATATTTGTATTATAAGTGGATCATTTTGATACAGTTTTATATTCATTTGACATTTTTGGTGACGGGTGAAATCAGGTGCTCAATTTTAAAATAGTGCGGTCATCATCATTTATTATTTGTATAATGTTCAATATTTAGCAAATGGTGCATTATATACAAGATTGTGATTTTACAGAGAATTATCCGCCATAATGTGAGAAAACTGAATCATTCTGTATTTTTATTTTTTTGAATGTTGAAGTTCATGCATATAATATATTCTAAATTATCTTGTATATACTGACACCTTCAATATAGTTGATAGATAACGTAACTTTTCGATAATTTTGGCAGATCTGGCGCAGGCTATGACGTCAGAGGAAAATGGAAGTTCCCTCCTCGAGAGACATCATAGTGAATTCACTGTTTTCATGGTGCATGAACAAATAAAAATCAAATGGACTATTATCAAATAGTCGAAGTGTTTTCGGATGGTAGAAAATATAAAATATTGATTAAAAAATTTGAGATGGAATGAAAAAGATTTGCAAAGTTATGAACGCAAAAAAAAATTTGCGAGACGGAGAGTAAAAATTAGTAATTCTCTCGGTGTTTAATTTCAATAAAAATTATTGTAAATATAAATTTTAAGGATTCACTGCCATGATATAGCTCATCAAATGAAAAGTGACATATTTTAAATGAAAGAAAAAATCAAAATCGCCTTGCGATTTTTCACTTATCGTCTATTACGTTTAACTCATAACACGAACTTATTGTATTGAATGGAAATACACTGCCCAAAAACCTGAGCAAATTTAATGTAGATGTAAACCTCTCCACTTCAGGATAATGGGCCATAAATCATGAAATGTGCTTTGAGTGTTTTTTCAAAAATGTCTTTCTTTGTGATATTAGTACGTAACTTTGCAAAATCTTTGAACCCACGATCAATTCTAAATTGTATGGGTACAATTGTTTGTTTTTATATAGTATAATCAAATCGATAAGCTCAAAATCTGTTTTGAGCAATGATGTCTCCACCATTGATTCTAACACATATTTTGTAATATTACATGTAAATAACACAATGCGTCTGTTGCTTAGTACTCTAACGTTACTTCACAAGTGACATTCCACTATACCAACATAAAAAGTTGATTTCACGTTGATGAATAGGTATAATAATTTGACGGAAAGGTGTATCCATTGAACCACAATGATACTGAAACCTTGTAAATTAAGTAATTATTCCAATAATATCTACTAGACTTGTATACAATATTTTTCCAGCTAAATATTCACTTGGTAGAATTGTGATTAGATCAACGTGATCTTCAAATAATTTCTTTCAGGCCTCGGAAAAACACTGTTTTTCTCTCTCATTTTATGGCCCCCATTCCAGAAACATTATTCCCTGTTTTCAACTTATGCGCGTGCTTTAATGGAAATTGATATATTTTTTTCATGAGGCAATCCCTTCTAGATACAGATCTTTCCTCGATGGTTCTTTTATAAAAAGTTTCCATTTCTAGGTAATCACTTACGTTTCATACTGACCCATCTGATTCTGGTTCAAAGCCCTGATTTGGTTGACGGCCCATATATTGAGTTGATGAAATAATTTGGCTACAAATTGTTTTCTTTTTGCACAATACAAGATCGTAGTAAGAGTAGAGGTCTAGTAAAAGTTAAGAAACATTTCAAATTTTCAAAAGTTCGCAACCTAATAACACAATCGGTGTTTGAGTTACTAGAAATTCAAATACCTTCATGTCACACCAATTTGTAAGCTGCTTCTTGTAGCTAATAAGAGTACTGCACTTGAATACTGGTGATCCTAATAGTAGGGGAAAGCTAGGCGAAACACTTGTCGCGATTCTGTAAACTCTTCATTGTGAAAATCAGAATAAATTTTATTAGTATGAGTCTCAATAATAAAATGAAAGTGTTTGAAAACCCGAATAAATGTATGTCACATCAACTTGTGAGGAGGTTCTTGAAGTAGGTAGTTGTTGAAACCCGAAGCTACTGTGCCAGAGGTCCTGAGTTTCAATTTCGGGTCTAGTCCCGTCTCCGTCAGTTTTTTTTTTCACCCAATTTCCCAACTACATCTGAAATAAATAAAAAATTAATTATTTTTTGATTTACTTTTTGTTCTTTTTGAAACATATTGAGGTATTGCTCTGATTTAAGATATTTTTCTCAAATATTTTTTTTTAATATTCCTGCTATGAGTCAAAGAAAAAGTATAGTGTTCTACTCACGAGAAATGACCTTTACTCGCTCGAATTTTTTTCTTACAAATACTCGTCATATTTCTCGCTCCTTGAATGAAATACTGTAGTCACTTGACTCATAGTTTAACGAGTTTGTCAAATAATATCGTATCCACTTTTTACCATATCTACTTTTTTTACGTTCACAATTCATCGCATTTGATATTTGATCCACTTTTTGATATTCACATGATTCCTATTTCGAATATTGTTCTAGTAGTAATTTTAGGTATACCTACCTACTCTATTTTCAGCCTATGTGATAATTGTGGAGAATTTGAAAAATATATTAATACTGAATCATTTCCTTCCAAAAAACAGTTTTTCACATTTTTAAAAGAAAATTCGATTACACTATATATGATTAATATGGTTGGATTACCAATCGATGATATAGCCGGAAAAAATATTGTACACAAATCTAATATTTGAAAATCCATAGACGCCAAACCCCAAAACAACGAAACACAAAACTTTTTATTTTTCTGTACCCGTGGAATTGAATAGATATACCTTCATTCTGTATAGTTTGAAACTAGGAAAATACATTTTGGTTACTGAGTTTTGGCTATGGTATTGAATATTGAAAAGTCATCTAGTTTTAGTGATTCAACATAGATCTGAGTAGGTAGATATAAACGTTGACGATACCTAATATAAAAAATAATCAATATATCGAAAACAATTGCAGGAGTATATTACTAGGTAGCGCCTCAATGGAAATGTTTCTGTTAGTACTGTATTGTGGAAAAATTTAACTTCGACTCAAATACGGGGGGAAGTCACAACGAAACTACCAGAATTCCAGTAACTACCCAAATTCATTTTGAAAAATCACCTAGTCAGAAGTCTGAGAAATAATAAGTTTGTCATGTAACATGTCTGCCTGGTATACAAATTTGAGAGTAAACATCAATCTTTCTTATTTAACATCGAACAAAGTTGAAATTATGAAGTATACTTATTCACTATAGCTACAAGAAACAGAAGAAAGTAGTACCTCCAAGTTCTCGACTGAGTCTCTTTTCCTAAAACATAATATGTAAAAGTTCAGATAGTCAATAATTCAGACTACTGGGACTGCTGTGACAGAAGTAAATATCACAACAATGGTAGAATTTTTCAGGATCTCAATGTCAATGACTTTTATTCACTATCATTAAAATTCTAACATGAATATATAAATTTTTGCACTTTCTCGGATACATACCATAAACAATCTAACATTTCATAAATATCTTGATTTCCTCATCTGTAAAAAACTGTTTCACTTATTTTACATTTCATGCAAAATCATACCAAGTATGAAATTTCAATATTTTGTTTTGTTTCTCTCTCGTTTCTTTAAAAAAAATACTAAATTCGATGATGTCCCCCCGTATTTCACCCTGCGTATTTAATCTAAATTTTGGCTTGAAATTCGCACCCTTTACTCAAATACAAAGATTTTTCACGCATTAGACTGTGCAGCGCCATAATACGCTATTTGCCCAGTATGTCCATACTTCTAGTCAATTAGAAATAGCGCGAAAGTTTGGAGCTGCATTAAATTCAAACTAAAGTTCGAAATAAACGGTTGGCCTAAACAACAAAATCTAGTCCGTCAGCCAATTTCTAGGTTTCTACCAATTTTGAACAATTACGATCCAAACCGCATCTTTTCCATATGAAAATTTATCATTCCTTTTTAGTTTTTGAATGTATTGAAACTGAGCCAAGAATTTGTTAATAACTTCGTCTCAAGTAAATGAAGTAAATTTTTGAAACAAATAATTTTTTAATTTCGTTTTTTCGGAGTGAAATCTTTGTAATATTTACGAATCATTTCTACATTCCTTCATTTGGAATATAGAGTTATCAATTTAAAATCGAAGTTCTCAATTCAGTGTTACGATTGGGATTAAACAGAAAAGGGATACATATTCATGATAAAATCAGGGCACTAGATATTACCCTTTCGATTTAATAATTTCTATTGAAGCGGCTGCTGAAAAGATGTTGTTGTTCGTAGTTATCCAATTTTGCCTTGGCACATGGACTACTAGTACTAGCAGAACGGTGTTCCGATACTATGGAGCAAAGTGATTATTCTAAATGTAAATATTGTTACATAATAATTAATAAAGTAATCGTATTACCATTATATGAGTAACTAAATGCAGTGTTTAAGTTTGTTTTGTTTTGACGACGTTTATGGAGCAAATGCGCGCATGATTGCTAAGTATAGGTAGGTACGTATGGAGTATCTACCCCCATACCTTCCAGCGAGATTGAGATATTTTCAATTTAAGGTATTCAAAATTTCGCCAGAGTACGGATTACGTTCCTCTCTGAAAAACGGTTTCGGTATATTTGTGTAAATCGATTCGATAAGTTTATGTTTTTTGGTAAACTTGAAATTTGTATCTACGAGAGAGTGAATGACGAGAAAATGTTGACTGGAAGATAAACTGATGTAGATTTAGAATTATGTTATACAATATGGAAATTACGAAATATGTAAAGTTTCCTGAACGCAATAAGATTCTATCTCTATAAGACTCTGTTTGTTTTATTTTTCAGTCCTTCATTAATTTTCCACTAAACACGAAACTTGAAAAATATATTTCATTTAGATACAAAAATTATCAAATTGATTAACGGAAAGGTTTGGTGAGTTATGAATTTTATTTTCAATTCTGAAGTAACTTCATATCAGCTTTTTTATGTCGATACCAAAAAATCGAGTCTAGCTTTTTTGGTTCCAGAGAAAAACGAAAACTCGTTATTCTATTTTCTGCTGAATCTTTTTACGCAGAATTATTGGAAATATGTTCACTTCTTGCCTCAAAAGACTATCAAAATGAGCTGAGACTTTTTTTTACGCATCCCTTCCACACAATTTTTGTTGATTGTATGTGAAAGTCTAAATTATAAAACAAATGTATAATTTTCTGTTTTATCTTTTATATTTATCAATGCTATTGAATTGTTAACTTTTGGATTTGTTTACATTCTCTTTTGTATCACTCTGTTTAGTAAAACCATGTCTGCTAAAAGTTAGTGTATTTGAATAACATGCTACCCGCATAGCGTTGGAATATAAGATTTGAAGTGTTAAGATTTGCGCTCTTCCTATGAAATCACATTATTTTTTTCATATGATATATTCGATAGTATTTTAGAGAGAATCTGTAAACCCTTTTGGTTCCAAATATTTAGTAATTATTACCATTTATTTACGGTAGCCGCTTGGTCAATTCATTAACACTGTAAATCACAACTTTCATTTGTCATAAATATTGTTAGTGGACTATTATACATGAATTATTGGTGTCACTGCACCTGGCGCCCAAATAACAGCTGTATCCTCCTGTAACGAGTCATACTTTTTACTAGTTTCCGTTTCCCTATAAGAGCTTATTGATTTTGTTCTTTTACTCACTGTTAGCTTACTGATCCGTCATTATTTGGTAGGGGGAACCTCGTTTTGCTGTTAGATATGATATTATTTTCCAGTAGCCAGTGTGGAAATTTCATCTGGGAATTTTATCTTATTCGTCATGTTTCCTATTCTTTTGACAGATCCTAACTTGTCGCTCCAGATATTCGAAAGACAGTTACTTCGACTCGGAGCTCTCTTATCACTGATATCTTCTGAAGATTCGGAAGCCCTAAGAATAGAATTACCCTTGCAATCGATGATTATTGGCACGAAGTGAATTGTTCAAAGTATTAGTTTCTCATATAAACACCTAATAACAAGCGGTTATATCAATGTGATATAACCAAATCCCATTCTCTGCTAAGAATGTTTCATTATTTTCAAAAAACGCACAAAAAGTAGAAAATAAACATATTTCCAATAAACTCGATAGCAGTAGCAAATTTTCGATAGCAGTAGATGTATGTTAGCTTTGCAATAGTTTTCCACTTTCTGTTATCTACGACGGAATTTTTGAGCCGTTCAATTCTTTGGTTGAGTTCTAAGTGGTTCTTATGCTCAATAGCAACATTTGTGCTGACTGGTTCTGGCTCTGGTCCTTGTGGACTTATTGGGGACTATTGTTTCGATTTTTTCATTTCTCTCCGATAATGTTTCCTTGGTGTCGGTCTGTGTTGGAGAGAGCAGGAGTGGATAATTCCTCATCCCGACTATCCAGCGATGGGTTTGGTTTGTAATATATTATTAGTATATTTTCCCTTTATTGATGTTCAGGAATAACCTTCTAGTCTTGCCTTTTCCCAAAATAATTTGTGGCTCCGTATTCTGCTCGGGTTTGACGGAAGACATACTTCAAGTATGTACACTGAATATATGTGAAAAGGAACACATGCAGTTGGTATCGAAGTAGTACTCGGTGAATCAAAATCAACATTTTCCTTTTCCTGATGAAGAACAAAACTAGATTTAACAAGTGAAATCATTTGTTCATTTACCACTTCTCTCCTAAAAAAATCTATTACTTTGTCTAATTTTGATTTGCAACTGCCCGGCCAAACTCCTAAAAGTTTCTCCGGTAACCATGACTCAAAATCATTTTCGCAAATTTATCCGATCTTATGCCAAGTGTATCTCAATTTGGTCGTAAAGCAAACTAAGTTTTGTTTTAGAATTCAAATAAGTCAATATCATATTCTCCAATATAAACTTCAGTAAGTAGGTATTCACGGCCAAAACGAGATTTGAAACTCTCTAAAGATTTCGGATTATTCTCAGCTAAAGAGGGATAACTTTCTACCAGTTGACGAGCACGTGAGTTGGGTACAGTAGTTCGGATTAAGTATTGGAAATTTTTTTTGTCAGAGGAGAGGAAATTTTCAAAAGGGCTACGGTCGTTCCGTAGTGGTGGATTTGTACCACCAAAAAACCTCTCCTCACTGAGCTCCAAGTACTGGAACCGCTTTCTCATTACTTCGCTACTTAGGCTGCTGTCCCACTATTAATGCTTTATATAATCATCAATGTGTCTTCTCTTGACATATGTATATATATTTTTCTTATCACCTATCCTCCACTTCTTTGGTTTCGATAATAGATCGTACTGTATTATAGGCATAATTCTACGGTTTTTCCCCACCCTGAAGACTTTGCATTATGTTCTCTGCAAAGAAAATTCTTTCCGTACAAATGCAGTTCTTGCGTGTTACCATCTTGTACAGGTAAGAATTGTATGCTCTACGTCGTCCTCTGCTTGACAATACGGGCAAGTTGGTGATTCAGCTCTCCTGCGAACAATAGAGGTATTTGCGGAAACAACCATGTCCCCGAAAGTGCCTGGGAAAGGAAATAATCCACTTCACCGAAAGGTCTATTGATCCAGACCTGTAAATCAGGTGTTAAGGAGTATGTCCATCTTCCATGAATTCCTCCTTCCCATTTTTGTTACCAGCTGTGCATTAGGTTATCTCTTGCATTCGATTTCGGTACGCCTGAATATCGGTCTTTTCTCTCGCTAGCTTGCAGTTCTATTGGAGGAATTGCCGCTATGATGCCAGCCGCCCCTGCGGATATTCTTTGGTATACGCTGCATATCCTTATCGCCAGTTTTCTCTGTATTCGAGTGAGTTTTAGAAGTAGCTATTCATTAGTAAGGGCTGTGTATCAGCAAGGTGAACCGTACAGCATCTGGGAGTGCACCACGCTGGATATGAATAATTCAATGCCCTGGGGCTACCTATATTCGACATTCACTTTGCCAGTGCAGCTACGAATTTGTCGGCTTTGACTACAATTTGGCTTATATGTTCAGCGAAAGTAGCTGTGTGTATATCCATATACCCATATATTTCACAGCTATGCTGAGTCCAATCGTTGTTCGTTGAACATCAAAACTTATTGGTTTCAGTTTCCTTCTCTTAAAGAGAAGGACAGCGTCTGTCTTCTCGTGAGCCAATTCCAAATGCAGCCGGTGGATTTCTGAGATAGGGGCCAGTCCCCAGTTTGTCAACTTCATCAGAAAGTCTTCTGTTTTGGAAAGAGAAGTATTGAAACTTATCTTCAGTTAGGATCAAATCATTAGTTTGAATTAGATTGAACTGTGTCCATAATGGTAACCAAGTTTTAATCTCGCGACAAAATGTAGGTATTAAGATAAATTTTCGGTAAATTAATATTTCGCATACTTTGACTTGTGTTGACAGTGGTGACAAAAGGATGTTCAGATATAGTATTTTTCGTAAATATGTATCAATTTTCGCTTTAAGACTATCAAATTACTCAACAGTTCATCTGACCTTGCTTCATCATCACCTACGTCGTCAGCAGGCGTATCTTTTTCCAACATCTTCTCTAACGTGTTACGAATCACACGCTAAAAGGTAATACCCCGTTAATCCTTAGCTCGCACAAGTTTCGACTTCTGAGGGTTGTCGTTCGTAGGGGTGCGACAGGTGGTTAACGGAAAAACATATTTTTTTAAACAGAACAGCTGCTAATCCAAATCTCGAATAACTTCAATATTCTCATCTAACAGCTCATCATCTTCCATTACATCGGCTTTATCGAAATCTGCCTTTTCCATCAGTCGAACCGTTACGGTATAGATTCGTGTGAACGTAGTTCTGTGGACATCGAAAGTTTTCAAAAGTTTTTCCATGTCCCGTCATGGTCGCCAAACATTATAAAATTAGTAAAACAACTACTACCCGGTAAAGAATACGAATCGAAAAGGATACAAATGGAACAGAACTGACATATTCAAAAAACACTCTATTGTGAGATTTCCATTAAACAGTTTTACAAAAACGCAACACGTGTTTTCCCATACAATGGCTTCTTTGGACGTGTCTTTACTAACTATATTCTACATATTTAATGCTTTATGTAACTTATTTCACAATTTGAAGTACCTGGTCATTTAATGTTTCGTCTGTACCTGAGTTTGTGAAGAAATAAATTACCTGGGCTTGTATACCAGTTTCCACATTTGAATAAACATCCAGTAACGGGAGTTATTCAATTCTAATCGATCATTTAGTAAATTAACTGCATTTTTTATTCTATTTATTCTATTTATTTTTATTCAGACAGTGGAATATTCAATGGTCTATGAACTACTTTATGCTGTTAAGGGTGTGTAGAGGAATTATATATGAAAATGTCCATGTGAAGACCTTAACAATTTTACGGGAATGCAGAAAATCTCAAAAACTTCCAATCTAACAATTCGTATCTCAAAATATGACAAGTCGTTTCACTTTTTTTATTAATTAAAATTCCATACACCAAAACTGGGTACTTCAACTGCCAAAGTTCATGAAGTCTCGACGATTTTCAATACAGTGATTAGAGAGCCCCGAATCGAAGTTGTAAGTAACTACCTTAAAAAAAAACTAGAGCAACAAGTTAAGTTCTAATGCAAAAGACTAGAAAATATGATGAAAATGGTGTAATCCCTGAATAAAAATCCCTCACTGACTACTGAAAAACAAAATTAAACCCAACAGCAAGACGAGTTTCTCCCTACCAAATAACGATGGATTTCAATATCTGAGATAGACAACAAAGGGCAAAAGAATAACATCAATAAGCTCTCATAGGGAAACTATGACATGTAGTTTTGGATGATTTGTCCACAGTACAATAGTCCACACGTTTAACAACAACAACAATGGAACGAATGGAAGTTGTGATCTATAACTATATAATTAATGACCAAGCAGTTACCATAAATTATTTGTGATAATTACTAGATTAAATTGAAAGGGTTATATGTTCAGGGGAGATAAATGTTTGGGAATCATTATACAAAAAATGTAGGAATCTTCCAAACAAGATTTTTTTTTTAAACCTTATTTTCCAAGTTATTAGATTTTTTGAACCAAAAGAGCTCATTCATCAAATTTTGAAATGACTAATCTAGATCGACATGAATCCTCTCAAATAAAAGCCTCGCAAATGGTCTCGAAAATACCATCAAACACAACATAAAAAAGAATCAATCACAACCCACGCTATGCGGGAAGCATGCTTGGTTTTACTCAACATCGACAATGATAGGTAAGACAATGTTAATACAAAAGATAAAACAAGAAAATATACATGTATTCTATAACTTAGACTTTCAGAAATAATGTGGAAGGTATGTATGAAAAGAAAAAATTCTAACTTCAACTTTGTCCCCAATCTTCATGAACATGGAACAATGAGACGGGCCATTTTAAGACAAATAAATTATATTTCTTTAGATGCAATGCGGTTAAAACGCCCCTTTTCTTTTCTGATTTTAAACTTCAGGGGCGGTTTTTTTTGAATTGTTGTCAGTTCTTGTGGGGAGACTTGTTGCAAAGTTTTTTTCTGAACGCGTTTTTTTTTGTTGATGTGAACCTAATTTGTGGATCAATTATCTTTTAGAAGATTTATTTTTGGGTTTCAATTCATTATCCTTTTCCATCAATTTTGTGCATTTAGCTTAGTTATTTAATATGGATAAATGCTGATGTATTTTATTGATAGTGTCATCATCAAGTTGATGAAAATCTAAACTTTCTAATTTCATTATCAATTCTTTTGTTTGGTCTATTCTGCGTCCTATATTTGATTATTGATGTTCTTTTCCCAGAGCTGATAAGCATTCAGATATTGAAATGTCTCTATCAGTCGAATTGAAATGTTTTTCTGTTTTTGTAGATGTTTTGTCTTATGGATATGTTTGCACATAATTTTTCTTTCTGTATAAAATTTGCAATCACATGAAAACATATGATTACACACCCCACACAACAAACATAATTGTTCATAGCATTTCGATTCTAATATCTGGTGGAAAGTATATGAACTATTTTGATTTTTGGAAATTTTCCAACTATTACCAATTTTCAAAATTGTATACTCAGCCCTATTATTCATTGCCTCCTTGTGATTCTGAGATATCAGTCTTGTTTGTTTGGTATGTTCACCCTTGATCAATGTAATAATTCGTTCTACACTCTTGTCTCTTACATATTTCAATACCATGTTTAAACCCTTGTCAAGGCGTTTTACTGTCTTTCTTTCCAAGTAAAAATACTTGATTACTTTATGAATCGACTCCAAATGCATGTTTGTGTTAATGCTAGCTTCTTTTCTATAAAAGTAAGTCCATTTTTTTTAATTATGACTGTGGGTATTAGAAAAATACTCTCCAAAATGTCTTGTGACTTCATTGTTGCACAATTAACTCAAAGCATTATCCAAAGCTGAAACAAAGTTTGATTCAAAAGTTTTTTGTTGCAATATTTTCAGTATTTTGTACATTTCTGAACGCTTGTCCTTAGTGGAAATTTTATTCAAATTGCTCTGCCAAGCTTTGTCAACATGCCAGGCGGACCCATCACCCCATACCATGCATTAAAAAACACCTCAGTCATATCTAACATGAAAAATTCACAATCAAATTAAACAACTATAAATACCAACCACCACCAAAACAAATTAATGTAAGATTGTACATACCTATGGTGTCTTTGATTGCTGAAAAGAATACACTCTGCACTATGGTATCTTTTCTATTCGTGAACGTTTCAGCTGCTGGAAACCATGGTGATATTTATCTAAGACAATAATGTTTGTCATTTCAAAATCAGTTCAATTCAATTCAATGTATTCATTGGTTTTACAGATTACAGTAAAAGTAATATAAAACACGTCACAAATTACATATATAGGTAGACATTTCACATTTGAAACTGTCAATTTTAAAAATATAATAAGTAAATTAAAATATATTATCGAATGAAAGTATACAATTAACTGGAATAAAATTCTTCAACATTATAAAACATTTTCGACAACAGAAAAGTTTTGAGATGTTTTCTGAATTTGAAGTCGGTAGTTTCCTTTTTAATCGATTCCGGGAGCTTATTGTAAATCCTTACGCCCCTGAGAGTTATATTCAAATTATTTCGAGGTGTTTTTAGATGGTGGTTAAATCTAGTTGAATAACTGTGATCATTAACTATGAGTGCTAATGTTTTTTTCATTTTTAAAAATGTAGCAAGATATTTCTAGAATATACAAGTAAGAGAGAGGAAGTATTTTCAGATTGGCAAATAATGGTCTGCATGATTCTCTCTGACTTTTATTCAATAAAGTTCTAAGGCATTTTTTTCTGCAGTACAAATAATTTCTGAGCTGCTGATGATGAACCCCATAATAAGATTCCATATGTGAGTCGTGACTGAATTTCAGCTTAATAAAAAATTTTTAGTACGGACAAGTTGAGAACTCTTCGTAGGCATTTCAGTTGGTATATTTTGCTGTTTAGCTTGGACATTGTTTCTCTGATATGGAATTCCCAATATAATGTGTCACTCACAATCATACCTAAAAATGTTATGTTTTCGCATTGTTTTAGTTTTACTTCTCTCATTTTAATTTTTATGTTTTCAATTCTCTTTTGTCTAGAGTGAAATATTGAAAAATTTGTTTTACCAGAATTGACATATAATTTGTTTATTGTTTATTTGTTTATTGTCATTAAATCGTTACAGTTTTGTTGGATAGCATCTAAGGAGTCTACTGCTACTAGGATCGACAGATCATCTACGTAAAGTGTTACGCAGATGTTATATATAAAGAGAACAATATAGGTGCAAGGGCACTTCCCTGCGGTACCCCTACACCCCCATCATCCTTAATACATAATGTTTTTTACCATCAAGATAAGACCGAAACAATTGATGTGTATTTCCTCTGATCCCATAAATCCAAAGTTTTTCTAAAAATCGATCGTGTGGAACACGATCATTTAGTCATGTCATTTAGGCCATTTCTTACAAGAAACTTAATTTAAAAACGAATGCCTGTATCAGTCGTACCAACTATGCCATAAACTTTTCACTGAAGTGAAAAGTGTAAAGAAAGGGGGAATAAGGTGTAAAAGTGACCTAGTGAATAAATGCTTTTGTTGTTAAATAGTTTGTATTGTGAAAAAGAAGTCTAAAAAGTTGCCCTCTTCTGAACTTTGAAGGGTGGTAACTTTGTAAATAAGGGAGAGCGCCGCTTTTTTCTTCGGATTCGTAATCTACGCATCAAAATTCGTAATTACATTCAAATTTTTTTCAAAATCGCCTGGTGCCCTCAAAACAAATATTTACCAATATTTATTTCCATTTTTGAAATATTGTCGAAGTAACCGACCTAGTAATCTTAAAGCTATCGGCGAACTCAAAGGCCAAAAAAACCAACACAAAGAACTAATGCCTCTAGGAATTAGTCCACGTGGACTGAAGAATTGGCGGTTCGTATTGGGTAATTTTTACTAACCGAGTTTTATGATTGGCTGAAAAGTCATAAAATTAAATTTGAAGTCATGTTACGGTGACGGCATTGACAACAATCAATGATCAGTTCAGGAACTGATCGCGATTTGAGTGTTGAAATTCGATATTGCTGGAGCTATAATTACTTAAAATGTTTATTTGTTTAAAGTGTGGCGTCCTTGGACAAGTACTAATGATAACGAGTGTGACAATAACGCAGAGTTGACTATATGGAGATTGGACACTTCCATATCAATGGTGTTAATAAATTCATTATTGATTTAAATGACGACAATGATAGTGAAACGGAGAATATGGAAGAGAAATTATCGCTTTCGAAAAAAGTTAGTGACGTGTTTTTGAAGTGATCGATTATATATATATATATACATACATACATATATTATAGTTATTGTGATTCTTATATAATCAGAAATGATTATTGAATAACAAAATTAGTTAGCTCCCTAACTATTTTATTAAAGGGGAACTGCTGGAAGGTAGGGGGCACTATATCGTTTACTTGAACTATACCATATTCATGTAGCATCTCTGTACCTAATCTCTATACCTTTACATTCAATACTTAACAAATTAGTACTCGCTTACTTCTTCAGTACTTCACTTACTGCTTATTCCTTAGTACTCATTTGTTGTACTCCTGTTGCACTTGTACTATTTCACCAATAGTACTAGCATTACTACTTTTCAAAACATAAGAGCAATTGTTAATTGTTCCAGTATTTGATTTCCAAATGTCAAAATCTGAAATAAATAAAAATAATTTTCAAAATAGTGTTATTCTGATTTTAGCATTAACAAAACATTTATATTTTTCATGACATGGCACTCTGTTTCAAACTTCAGCAGATGAATTCTCTGCAAATGGTCCACTAAATTCTTATGGGTTTTGAATGCAGAATCACAATCTGCTTCATGGCAACGGCTACTAAAAGTTGCACCGCATCCCTTCTGAGATAAATAAGATATAGGTTCTGGATTTTTTTGGTCTACTTCACGTATTGTGAAGGTTTCTGTCCAGTCTAATAGAGTGGACTGTATAATCTGAGCTGATTTAATTGATAATGTTGAATGAATAAAACGAATGCATAACTGTATTACGCTCGACATTCAAATTAATTCTGTCTCGTCGCCCTAGCATCACTACGTACCAACACACTGTCGTTGGCGTTGTTGCTGAACTTACAAAAATTTAATATAAAGAAAGAAATTCGTGAACATACTGCCACCTTGAACTGTGAGTTCAACAACATAATTATTAAAATAAACAAATATTCTGAAATAAAAAACACAAAAAGGAACAAAACAAATGTCTGTTAGCTTAAGTCATTATGAGTCACTATTCACGTGCACTGGTAGCTGACAAAGTCTTGGTATGGCTCGCTTCAGGATGCCGTTGTGAGTTCGTACAGTAATTACGTTGTGCTTCCAGCAGTCTGGGGTTCGTAGAAGCACCAGTAATGTTGAACTAGTTTTATAACTCTGACTAATTGAACTTCACACAAATAAAAGTTATTCAGACCTCACTATGTGCTTTATTCAAATAGAAAGCTGGTCACAAACTAATTATGTACAATAACAATTCATGTGCTTATATAGACACACTATGACATTGGTAAAGGTAAAAAGATAATTTACGGGAAAAGTTCTTACTATGCAAGATAATTCCCGGGTAGAATTCATAATCATCAAAAGATAAGTCTGGGTTAAAATGCTTATGATATGTTATAGGTTGTAAACATCAAACAATGGTTGTAAACAATTAAGAGATAAAGTTCGGCAAGAATGCAATGTCAGCAATTACCGGTTGTTATCTATAAATAAACAGGTTAGTCCAGGGTTGGCTCGGGAATAATGTAACTCAGTTGCGACTCTAGCGATGCCGTCATCTCTTGGATGCAGTTTGACAATTCTGCTTAGAAGCCAATTTCGTGGTGGTAAGTTATCTTGTTGGATTAACACAAGAGAACCCTTTGTTGCGGTCTGAGACTGTGTATTCCACTTATTTTTTTGCTGCAAGTGCGACAAATAATCTCGTGACCAGCGCAAAAACTCTGCTGAAGCAATTGTTATCTGGACAGCTGGTTCATCGGAATGTTTTGTCGATTCAACCCCTGACTGCGCCCACAAAATTTGTAGCATTATCTGAATAAATATGACTAGGTTTGCCACGACGTGATGTAAATCGTCTGAGGGCGGCAATAAATGTTTCTGTTGTTAGGTCTGTCACAAGTTCGAGATGAACGGCCTTTGTGGAGAAACAAATAATTAGGCATACATAGCCTTTAATTGATTTAGAACCGCGCCCTTTTCTATCCTTCAATATAAACGGACCTGCGTAATCGACTCCTGTTATATTTAATGGAGATGTACATGTTACTCTTTCCTTTGGCAAATGTGCCATGATCGGATTGTCAACTTCAGGTCGAAATTTAAAATACCTGATACAATTAAGTGTAACCCCCTTTGCTATGCTCATTCCCGATATAGTCCAATATTTTTGACGAACGGTTGCTAATAATAATTGTGGACCTGGATGTAGTGAGTCTTTATGCATCTGTTCAAATATTAATTTTGTCAAAACATGTTCCTTTGCTAGAAGAAGAGGGTGCTTGTTATCAAAGCTGAGTGATGAGTTTTTTAATCGTCCACCTACTCTCAACAATTCATTTGAATCTAAATATGGAGAAAGTCGTATCAATCTATGTTTTTGAGATAGTTCCTTGCTTGACATTAACAATGAAATTTCTTGTGAAAAAGTTTCATACTGAGAAAGCTTTACAAGATTGAGCATGCTAAATCTTTAACAGTTAATGGACCTGTCAAGCGGTGTTCCTGCGATGCTTTGCAGTTGAAAATCAAACGTAAACAGTACGCTACTGTATGGATAAATTTTTGTAAGTTTGAAAATTTATGAAAAATAGATTCTGATTTCGAAGTGGACAAAAAAACTTGTCTTTTGAATTCAGGGATATATTCTGAAGAAATTGAAATCGAAGATGTTGGCCATTCAGTTTTGTCCAATGATAGCCATGTTGGGCAATTCCACCATAAATGGTTTTCAACGATTCTATTAGGAAAAATTCGTCGCGATGCTAAGTCTGCTGGATTTTATTTGGTGTTGATATAACGCCAGGCATCAAAACGAGTTAAGGATTGAATTTCTGCCACTCGATTTTGGACAAATGTTACTAATAAATTTGGCTGAGTTTGAATCTAGCATAAAGTTATTTGCGAATCAGACCATAACGTATGAGGTATGTCAATAGTGAGGGCATTTGTCACCTTTTTCACGAGTCATGCTAACATAAGTGCGCTACATAGTTCAAGTTTGGGTATACCTACTCAATCTGGTTTTCAACGGTGCAACCTTTGTTTTCGTACAAATCAGTTTAATAAATGTTTTACCTGAGCGGTTTGTGCTACTTAAATATATACAGGCTGCATACCCGGCTTGAGATGCATCACAAAACCCGTGTGCTTCAACGTTTACCATATTGGGGCAAATTGCGTGTCTGTTAATTTGAATCTGATTTAGATATTTTAATTCATTTCTGAAGCGAATCCACTGACATTGTGAAACTTTTGGGATATCGTCATCCCACTCTATTTTAATGACCATAGCTTTAGAATAAATATTTTTGCAATAATAATACAGGGACTCACACAACCTAAAGGGTCAAATATTTTTGCTACTTCTGCTAAAACAATTCGTTTCGTTACTCGATTATTTAAATAATCAGAAATATGATAAGTGAGTAAATCAGTTTTGCTATTCCATCGTATTCCTAGTGTTTTTAACTTTTCGTTATCGCCTAGTGCTATTACGCTAATTGAATCATTTCCATCAATGAATTCTTGTAATATTTTTGGGCTATTTGACATCCACTTCCTTAAAGGAAATTTAGCAGTCATCAAAATGTCTGAAATCTCTTTGCATACTAAAATTGCCTCTTCTTCTGTATTAAAATCAGTCAAAAGGTCTACATAAAAATCCCTTAAAATAATTTTTGATGAAATAGGAAAGTGGACAATTCTTTTGTAAGTGGTTCTAAATCGAAAAGTGCTTTATGTGATTATTAACCAATAACCGAGAATCATTGAATCTGTTACAAATCAAGTCCCAAGCTATAATGTAATTGTTAGCAGAAAATTCTAAGGACTGAATAATTTTGAGTGCGTTACCTTCGGGCGATGCTCTTAAATAGTGGAACTTTTGAATGTCATTGATAGACGTACCCTTGTGAATCAGTGACTCATAAGTGTCTTTGAATTTGAGCCAGTTATCAAATTTATCATTGAATTTCATCAATTTTATATCAGGTAATTTAATGTTTTCGAGGGAAACATCTTGTGTACGAACAGAGCTCGTTTGTTGAGTAACAGAAATTTTCGGATTCAAATTGTTTGAAATAATTTTTCCCTCCGCTGTATTTAAAGAAATTATAGCAGTAAATTCTTCGCGTTCTATATATTGATTCGTATATTGAATCGTCTTCATCACACAAACATTCAATTTCAATTTGAATCTCTTCAAATTCTGCGGAAAGTTGTTGAAAATTCTGAAACCGGTCCTGGAATTCTAATATGATTCGATCTTCAATCGTAGTGTTCGATTGTAACATAACCTTAACCGAGTTCAGATATTTTACGAAACAAGTTGCTTTATATTTCACTGAACCGCGTTTTCTTTTGAGCTTTGAAAATATTTCTGTATATATATATATATACATGTTAGCGACTGGAGAAATGTATGGTAAAATGGATTAACAGGGTCTCTCAGTCAAAAAATCAAACTCTGCTTTACTTTGACAAGCTTTCGCTTCTAATGGGAAGCTTCTTCAGGGCCTATAATTTAATGATTTTTGAATATTTTCGCCTTTGAATAACATTACAAATCATACTTACAGTAAAAATGAATGAAAAACAATAAATTGAAGATATAAATTGTCGTAAAAGTTAACATGTATACGATTTTTTTTTGGGTTTGACAAATGTCATACCTTCACATAAATGTCATTTTTCAATGGGTATGATGATTTGATAATTTTTTACTGTAATGAAAGAGTTATTGATTGATACATCTTTCATTATTATTATGTTTTTGATGTAGTTCTA